ACGGGCCTAACGGCGGCGGCGGGGGAGGGGCCCGGCGGCCCCGGGCACCGTTAGGTCCGTTGGCCGGAGCGGAGGGGTAAGCCGGCCCAGCACCGCGAGGGTAAAAGTGCTAATTTTACGGTTAAATTGAATAAAGGGGCATGAAACTGCCCAGTTGGCCCTCCGGGTGAGATTCGGGCGCTTGAGGCAGGTGACTCTCCCTGCTCAGGGCATTGGCGAAAAGAGGAACTGGAGAACAAGGGGTCAGAGGAGCCATCCAGAGCAAGGAGACGCCTCCAGCAAGACGCTGCTGACCTTGGGCATTCGCCCGAAGTGCTTAGTATAGTCAAATGGAAGCCTCACACTTTTAATTTGGGCTCTCTGTGTTGCCCTCTGGAGTCACTGACTCCATCAGGGATAAGACACCTAGCTTATAAGGATGCCTAAAATAAGACAGTATAAATACCGCTCCTTTGATGTGCTGAGGGGCAGTCACACAGTGGGAATACTGCGCAGAACAGGGAGCTTTGGATCCCACTCCTTGCTCCAGGACTTTCCTGAGGAAGACTGTGGACATGGAGGAAGGCACTTCCACCTCTTCACCCAGTGTCCCTCAGTGACGGGACCTCGTGTCTGTCTCCCTTTTATTCCTGGAGGGATTCAAATCTGTGTCCTTGCTACTGATAGGCAGCCTTGCCATGCACACCGTAAAAGGGAATTCAAGAGACACTGGGCCAGAAAGAAGCGGGAATGTGATTGCCTTTGAGTGGTAATCTGTCCCTGAGTGTTGTTAAGTAACGGTCTTGGCAGCACGGAAGGAGCAAACACCACTGAGGTGCAAGAGCCAACTGCTAGGACACAGGGACGCACTTTCCTCCTCTTGACAGCCTCTGGTATGATGAGAGCGCCCACTGCTCCCCAAGTGCAAATCTGCTTAATGTGCTTAATAATCACATATTATAAGTCATTAATCTCCCATCCGTGACTTGCCGCAATATATTGCCTGCAAGTCTTGACAATGCTGTTTGTCACTGCAGGAAAAGGGACCACGAAGTATGATCCAGCTTAGAGGAACATATGATCCTATAGGATGTTACTTACTTGGTATCATTTATCGGGGTCAATCAGGGCCAAGGAAGCGCAGGACCTGGCAAGGCTACATCATGCCTGCATATGGTGCCTAATTGTCATCAAGTTATTAACGATGCTAAAGTGAATGGAAACCTAAACATTTGCAGCATCTGGACTATGAACTGTGAAGGACAGGAATATTAAACTTCAGATCTGAAGTAGCCAAACTTTATATTTATGATGAGCTGGAGATACAGTCATTTTACCACTTGTCCTCATCCACATACCCGCTTTTGCCTGACCATTTAAGTAGGATAAAGCAGTCTTCCTGTTAAATAAACTTCTGGTGTTGTGCAGATGTTCACTCCACAAACCATCCCTGCCTGAGATTCATTGCCATTAGCATCGTCGTCATCACTTCTGAAGGATTAAAGTTACAAGCAATAGGTAAAAAATATTATTAGAAGCATTTGTCACAGAGCATGGCAAGGAAGAAAATGGACATCTTCAGCCAGTGAGCTGCTTGAGATGCATTTTATTAAACCACCAATTTTCAGGCCTTCAGCAAGATTTGAACAATCTTTCGTCAAGGAAAGAAAGCTTTTTTTTTATCCCATTCTACTTACCTGACCAACCTGTATAGTAACAGGATAACTCCACCAAACAAAAGTCAGTTAACTTTAGCTTTAGCAGTTCTTTAATCAAGGATATAAAGAGCTACAGAGATTGTCCCTTTTTTTTAAAGTGAAAAGCTGTAGATATTTGTCTCTTAAAATCCATTTTCCATAGAAGTGACAATTTCATACCAAAAAAAAGCAACTTATGAACCTCATCTTAAATATCTTAAATCTGCAAATCAATATAACAGTACTGGCATTATGCTTATCTGCCCCACAGATGTTTAAGTACTGGTAAAGATATGGATATCAGATACTAAACTAGAAAGCTTGTACAGGCTGATGGAGGTAGCAAGTATGTTTTCCTCCAGTTCTAAGATTCCTTCCATGACTCTTCATTCCCTTTGTTATTGTCCCCCCCTCTCTTTTACTGAATGTCCTTATTTTAGTAAAGTGTTTATGCGGGGGCATTTTGAACTAAGTTAAAAACTACTTTCTTTTACAAAACAAAGAATTCCTTATAAACCAAATTGTCAGAAATGGCCACCAAAACTAGCCCAGTCTATAAACACCTAATTTATTCTAGTGAGCTCAGATTTCCAAAGCATGTGTTATCTAACAGAACCATATACTTTGCCATATACATTTTTTGAGAGGTGAAGACTCTTTCACATTATTATTATTCAGTACTGGCCTTAGCAGACTTTATTTGTTTAATTGTTAAATGAACCAGGGATTATAATGGAATGGTAAGATACCTTGTGACAATATTTAACTGTGAGAACTTGCTGCCATGTGCATACATTAGCTGTTTTTCAGAAAATCCTGTTAAATACCAGAGTTCCGCAGCTAAGCTAATATTACCCATTTAACTTTTACAATTCAAATACTGTGGCAGTAAAAACCTGCCAAGAAGCAGAGTATTTTTAAACCCCGAACCAGTAATTAAATGACCAGTATTCAGATAAGCCACATACCAGATTATTACTAATATCCTAGACACTTTTTGTTATTCCAAACAGGAAGAACTCTTATTAGCAATTATCTTGTTTAAATTTAGCTTTACTGTCATCTCTGCTTGCATTATGTTTTTTCATTATTTACAAGAATCTCTACAAATCCTGTGATAATTTTTTTAATTGCCTCACTTGATTTTTCAGGTCACAGTCTTGCACATACTTGTTTATTATACTCGTTTATAATTAAGTATACATGTTTAAGTAGTCCCATTAAAGTCAGAGCCTAATTCATAATTAATTCAAAGCAAAGCTTAGCTATAAATAATGTATTTTTGTATATAACATCTGTAAAGTGCAGGTGTGCTATATGCCCAAAAAGGAGCATACTGTACAAGTGGGGCAATATGAATGCATGTGTAATAAAGGCAGCAGAAATGTAGGTAGGCAAACATAAGGCTAAAGTGACAGATTTGCTTACTAGAAAACACTTGTTAACATTTTGTGCTTGAAATTAATTACGTTTATAATACTGGAAAGTTCATTGCACTAGCAGTAAGTATGGTAGAGTTTTTGCTTGTTTTTGATTCCACAGATCAACAGTTTTTAGCCTATTAATGGCAACTTAAGGAATGTTTACTGTTATCCTACCTGCCATGCCGATTAGCTGGGCTAACAGCTGAATTGGACACATGAGGATTAATAAGAGTTTAACCCTTTAAACCACGGGTCTTCCCCTACAGACTTTCGAATCTCGGAGGGGTTGTTTTCCGCATAGGGATCATTCAAAAAGTTCTTGTCTGAACTGGCTGCTATTAGACTGTCATTGTCACGTTGTTTTGAAAATCAGACTAATTATTCTGCTGTTTAAAAGACCTACTGAAAGGTCAAGATTTTTCAGAACCG